GAGGTGATCGATAAAATATGACAGTAGGCTGCATTGTATAAAAGGCATGATGACCTGAAAATGAAGCGCTGGCAAACCAACCTCACATAATGGTGTTTGACAAAGAGCAGAAAACTGCAGATTCCAGGTGTAACATCAGAGGTCTCTGTCCAGAAGAGGGTAAACCTCAGGAATAGTTTCTCCAACTCTAAGGACTCAAAAGCTTGAGGATACACATATCACGCTCTAGGGGACTGAGTGGGATCTATATGGGTGTCTGTGTTTATTTCGTTTGTGCAGGTGCTTGGTGACCGCTGGGCAGCGATTTGTAGATGGACAGAAGAACGCTGGATTGTGCTGCAGGAGACTCTGCTGAAATGGCAGCACTTCACCAATGAACAGGTATGACTGTCTAAGGTGGGATCACAGATAAGATTGCTGATGTATTGAGAAACCCGAATGTGTCTATGCATGTGAGGGTTCTTCACCTGTCTAGAACAGATTGGATAAATGCTTCTCGTATACACTTATTGTCTACATTTTATCTATATATGTTCAACTTGCTCATTAACACAAATGCACAGATCAGGCATAATATTATGAATAAGTGATGAACCATGATTATCTCTTCGGAAAGAATTTTGAAAAAGTGTGTAAGTGTACGGATTTAAACGACCAAACTGTGATGGCTTGACTGGTTCAGAGTATCTCTAGAACTGCAGAGACATAGAAGCCAGGAGAATAAATCGGCTGTTCTCCACTGAACAATCTGAGGTGTACTCTCAGTAGCAGGCAAACAATAAATGACCAGCCCACCAAGGGTGAAGACAGAGAAGGATGCAGCACATAAGAAAATGCTCATTGGCTACCTCCCCTAACCTCGCCTAGTAACCATCACAGTGGAATAAATCCAAGAAAGAGTCTCACGCATGAAGAGTTGGACAACACCAGGCTCTGACATGATTCACAGTTACTAGCTAAACAAGCTGACAGCACTCTAGCTGCTAATGAATGACCTGCACATGGAATGGCTAACCAAAGATTAGACTGATCCCCAGATTCCCAGAAGAGGCTGGTCCCAACCAATAACCTGCCTCAGCGCCACGTGGAAGCTCCTGTCAGGCATCATGGCTAAGATGGACAGACATATGGCTCAACACATGAGTGGGTCACACAAAGGAATTGTCAGAAATACCAGCTACTGTTAGATACAGTCACTCAAGACCAGAGATGGGCAGTAACGCGTTACTGTAATCCGATTACTTTTTTCAAG